TTGTGGGTATGCATGTATCTGAGGCAGAACAGAAAACTGAAACGCAAATAAATATTCAATAAAAATTGCTACATTTTTTCTTTAGATTTTCTACAAAATTTATTTAATCTTACTACAATTTGTAATGAAATTTACGAAGTTGTAAATATTTCATTCAATTTGTATGGAATTAGTCTGAGCCCTGTCGATATTTCTCCTACAATTTACTAAGTACTACAATTTTATAGTCAAATTTAACTTTACCATTAGTTAACCTTACAACAAATTTGAGTTGCATTTTCTACAAAACGACCTCTACAACGTTGTAGTAATTTTTTATAAAGCATTTTTCTGAGTGTGTACTATAGATATATAGCATTAAGGATTACAAGGAAAAACAGTAATTCGTGTTGAGATATAAATCATTTAATTTAATTTTGATAAAACCCGAGTTAAAAAAATTATAGGGCCTGTGGCATTTATGATAATCCCTCGGCGTTATGAATTAAAGGAATTTCCGTTCCTACAAATTCGCAAGATTAAAAACAGTCGAAGCACAAAGAGGTTTTTCAAATTTTACCGACATTACAGGAAAAACCGCAACTAATTTTTTATGTAAATCTTGTAACCCAGGCCGTTTCAATCAAAACAGAAAAGGAAGACATTAAAAAACAACGTAAACAATTATTAATAAGGAAAATAAAATGACGATGCTCTTCAATATCTCAAGTGCAGTCAAACCTATTTTTTGTGCGTATTGTGGCGTCGTGTACGTACTGATACGCAAATAATCCTTATTTGTTTGATAATAAACTTGACTGATTAGAAATGCTATTTTTGATTTTCGTCAATGATTGGCGCCAGATATTTTCAGCATACCGCTAGCTTTCGACCATGTGCAACTTACGATTAGATAAAATATTTATGTTGTAACTTTGATCTTACGAATTCGCTTAGTTAATTGCATATTTTCTTGAACCGATGGATAAAGCTTGCCTTATTTCTAATTGTCATGGATCTCAATAAATATATCAATAATTTAATCTCCAGTTTCTTTTATTTGTTTAAAAAAGATATATTGATTACAACAATTTCCTTATGACTGGAAAGTTAATAATGAACAATTCACTTCAACACAGAAATCCAGACTGACAGACTCATCACAAGAAGGGATTGTTTAAAATTCAAATTCCTCAGTGTGTGAAAGGAAGGGTTAAAATTTCGAATGCAAAAATGTTTTAGTATTGAGAGATGGAAAAGAGAATAATTGTAAAATATGTATTAGGAAAGTTCATATTTATATCTTTCAAATATTAGGTTAATTAAGAAATTTTGTAACAACAATATTAATTTAATATGTAATATGTAACAAAGCCAAAAGAAACTTTTATGATTTATGAATATAAATACATTGATCAAATTAAACTTGTTCTAAGGACAAGGAAAAGGGCAGGATTTTTCGGAAAATTACCTACCGCTATTGTATTCAGATTTCTAAATATCAAAGCAGGTTCTTCAAACGCGTTAATCAAATATCTAATCAAATTATTCACCAATTCAAATCATCGTTCAATTTGTACGAGTTTCTTGTATAAAGGTACGTGACAGTAGGCATACAAAACCATCCCTCCTTTATTTGAAGCCATTAATTTAATATACCGCCGACATTTATTACNATTTTTATTTATTTTTTTTTGTTATTAACATGATTTATATTTGGTTTAATTTATATGACAAAATGTGATATTAACAAATTTTGATTTAATTACGTATTATTTGATATTTTTTGATATTTAATTGTGTTATTAAGTTTATATTTTATTTTTTCTTTTGTTTGAGGATGCGTTGCGAGGCGCATTCTTTTCGCATTTGCGCAATTTGTTAATTACTATGTAATTGGGCTTCGCAAAACTCAACTACGCACAGAAAAATACATAAACAAAATATAAGTAAACAAATTGTAGTGTCTGAGTTTGTTTATAGAACATTTCAAAAGTCACGTAAACTATTTGATTGGGGTTAAAGTTCATCTATTCGTTACACTAGATAAAACAACGTCATTGATGACTTCTTTTTCGTCTTGATATCGAATATTAAACGTGTTTTGATTTGTCAAGGTCAGCTTATGACTAGAATTAGTATTTTTTCGAAGAGATATTCGAGGGCTATACAGCGTAACTTTCTAAACAAAAATAGATTTATTTAACGTAAACTTTTCCAAATTTCTGTCAAACTGTTTGTGTAAAGTCTCTGTCGTTAACATTAGATTTAGATTTAGATTAGAGGCTCTAATGTTAACTATGCCCTTAAAGTTTAAATTAAGATTCAATTGGAGCTTTTTACCCTTTAAGCAGAAAAAAATTGTCTTGAAAAATGACAATAAACCTGTTCTTAAGATGGATAATATATCGTTATGTAGTGGTTTTTGCGGTTAGTACTAGAACTGGGCAAAGTCCTTACCAAAAAAGTTCTAAGCTTTAAGCCCAAAGCTCATACTTAAAGTGATTTAGTCATTGAATCTCCAATTACATTTAATGTAAGAACTTAATTACTAATTACTTCTAAAGCATTTAAATTCAAATCCCTAAGCACATTAAAAATGCTTCAAACACTATAAAGAACTTGAAGCCCCTTGAATTACATATTAGAAAGCGCCTTATTATAAAGGAATCGTTTACTAAGCTCCAACTACTTGGTCAGGAAAGGGACTGAATTAAATACTTCCAAGCCCTGAAAGGAATAGTAGCACATTTACAACCTCAAATCACTAAAAGCTCTGTCCAACCAGACGTGAAGTAAATGCTTCGATTTAGTCGGCGATTTACCGAAACTGCTTATGGCGTGCTAATGATAACTAATAAGTTCGATCAATAAAGGTTACGATAAAATACTTAGCAAAAACATAATATTTAGTGTTGCCCAAACGCAAGAACAAGACGAGACTTAGCCAGTCTTGGTCTTGGTCTTGTGCCAATACACCTGGTCTTGGTCTTGGTCTTGGTCTTGCGCTCCCAGTCTTGGTCTTGGTCTTGGTCTTGCAGCAAGAGTCTTGCAAGTCTTGCAATTACCTATTAGTCTATTACTATTTATTAAAGTTTACTTTAAATCCTAGAAAAACGTATTAGAATTGGAACATTGTGAGCTTGAATGAATATAGCCATAGTAAAGATCAAGCAGATTAATAAATAACTGAAGATTTGATAAGAAATTCGAAAAATCAACTGACCTATATGTCGTTTTCCATGGAAGTAACTGTTTCTTAATAAACATTTATGATCCTTGCTTTCTACCGCGCCGCCTCGCCACGTGCCGGCTCTATGATAAGGATGCCGCCGCAAATCAAACAATAATATAAAGCGTGTAAAAAAATTCGAAATTATTTTGCATGAGTATACCTACACCCTATGGCGGCAATCAAATAGTGTCAAATGTTATGATTTCGGCGTGGCGGCAACGATTGTTTTAGATTTCAAAAGAAGCCGCCGGCGCGTGTATCATAACCATGTACTTCCGAAAAGCGGCAAATTTCTTTGAGAAGTAAGTACAAAACCTTTGATGCCGCATTATCAAAGTGCCGATGGTTAAAACATAACTATGCATGCACTCAGTTTGATTTTAATAATTTTTTTATTCGCTATGTTTATGGTATTAGTCGTAATGCGCATAGGTCCAGTTTTTCATATTCTTTGATACAGTTTTTTGCGTCTCATAGAATTCCTAAGCGTACCTACCTATACACCGAACTGTTACACCTAACTACTCAGTGAAATAGCGCTAAGTCCTAGCTGCAAGACGCAAGAGTCTTGCAGGCTATGTCTTGTTCTTGCTCAAGTCTTGCACGGTCAGTCTTGGTCTTGGTCTTGCTAAAAATACGCGGTCTTGTTCTTGGTCTTGGTCTTGCAAAAACGCAAGAACAAGACCAAGACTGCAAGACCAAGACTGAATTTGGGCAACACTAATAATATTCCTTCTAAATACAAATACATTATTTTAAGGTTTTCTATTGATTTTATTTACGTTTCAAAAACTCCTTGCAGACATTTACTATCGATAAACTTTCAATATTCCTGCTCCATTTAACTTACAATTATAAATTATGCCTTCTTAACATGTTTTTTTTTTATCAACAGAGCTTCGTCTATCTGACGACGTTGCTGGAGCCACATTTATGGCGATTGCTAGCTCCAGTCCTGAGCTTTTCATCAATTCTGTAGGAACATTTGTCACTGAGGGAGACATTGGCCTTGGAACTATAGTAGGATCAGCCGTTTTCAACCTCCTTTTTGTGCCAGCATGCTGTGGTCTTATAGCAAACTCGGTAAGAATTTTTTATACGTCATAAAACCCTAAAGCTAGATAAATAGACGCTTACTTAGAAGCAGTATGTGAAATGTTGCGAATACGAAGACGCTAAGGGGCTAAGTCGCTCAGTAATCGGTGATGTACGGTGAATATGGCACACTTTACACCTAGGACATTTTCCCCCGGATATGAATAACAAAATTATACAATGGTTCTTAAAAGCTTTTTGATTGTTACATTAAAAGAGTTTAGCACAACAAAATTTATTGTTCTTTAATGTAATGCTTACATGTGTGCCAATTGACAAGACTTCTTGCGTGTGAAGACGATATCAGCCGCTTCACCACCTTAATAACTCGCTTCTTTTTGACTCACTTTCACTAATGATCCTAATAAATTACTGATTATTACTATTCTCGCTATTTAAATAATTGCTTTTCTAACATCTAATTTTAAACATCTAGGAAGAACGTCATTCTTTTCCGTGAACTGGTATTAAGGTTATTACTCAATCTATTTAATTTAACATTTTTCGTACATTCTGTGTACCACCTGAACGACCTTTTGTTTTCAGGTTCTCCAATTAGAGCTGTGGCCAATAACGCGAGACAGCCTAATGTATGCAGTATCAGTTATTGCACTATTTTTAGCTCTTCGAGATGGAAAAATTGATTTTTATGAAGCTACAGTATTATTATCAGCATATTTTATATATATTTTAGGTAAGTCTCATTGGGTATTACAGTAAAACCTTCTACTTATTTGTTAATTAGAACTGTCTTTATAAATAATTCGATTGGTGTATTAATTCAACGAGAATTATCTGTCACAAATGTTCCATTTTATTGGGTTTTAGAATTAATTCTAGATTGGCATTGTTTAAAGCAGATTTATGGTATGGAGTCTGGTTGTGTTCCATGGGAAATTATACCATTGGAAAAGCTTTATATGTAATTAATAAAAACGTGTATAAAAAGACAGATTTTATAACTGACTATATATTTAGTAGTACCTTTAATTAATATTTCATTAATTATATGTTTCAGTGATGGTTTTTAATATTCCTATAATTAACAGTTTTACACGTTTAAGCAGAGTATTTCGAAGAAAGAAGAAATATGTGGAAATCGCTAACGAAACACATCCTTTGTTGTGGGTGAATGGGAAGGTAAGTGTCTCTTCATCCCCTGAAAGAGACCCCTCGACGGAATCTGATATCACCTTAAAGGACTGCGAAGATTTGGGTGAGTAAAATTTTACGAAGACAAGAATTTAACTTCCTACATTAGTAGCTACATGGATTTTATTTTCCCAATTCTATAGGTTCAAAGCAGAGAGCAATTCGCAAACAAATTTTTAAATTTTGCTAATTATTTTTCAGAGGAATCTACAAAGATTTGGAGTTGGCCTAGCAATTACTCAGTTATGGGACAAATATGGTGGGTCGTCACATGGCCTGTTATTCTTTTATTGGGTATTTCAGTGCCTGATTGCCGAAAACATCCCCGCGTCTATGCCATTACTTTTTTTATGTGCGTTGTCTGGATAGGGACGGCATCATATACAGCAGCGTGGTTAATAACTGTCATTGGTGAGTGACGAAATTTACGTTACCGTAAATAAGTCATGTTATCCTTATCTACTATTAGGTGTATATTCATTTGCATATATCTAAGGTCCCAAATATTTTGTTTTGTGTTAAATTTTCAAATATTCGCATTTTTTCTATTTCTAGGTGACACTTTAAGTATTCCCGATTCTGTTATGGGATTAACGTTTTTAGCAGCGGGTACGAGCGTCCCGGAAGCTGTAGCTAGCGTTATTGTTGTTAACCAGGGTTAGTGTCTATTTAACCGTAATGCGCATTTCAATTAATTATTTATTAACATCTCTTCAGCCAGAAAGGGCTGAAATGTTCTTTACATACTACGTAATCTTATCTCTTTTCGGCTGCTTCTAATTGGAAAAACATTATGTTAGGTAGAACAAGGGGTTAATTATTTATTTGTTGGTGTGTCTTTTAGGGTATGGTGCCATGGGGCTAAGCAGCGTGATTGGATCAAATACGTTCGATATTTTGGTTTGTTTGGGACTCCCTTGGATGATCAAAACTTGGCAAAAATCGACAACTGGTGCAAAAAACTACATTAAGATTAGGTCTTCTGGTTTGCCCTATACTGTTATATCACTACTCTCAACGCTGGTACTTCTTTATTTTACATTAGTGGTGAACAAGTTAAGGTAATAAATTTGTTTATATAAAGAACTTCTTTACTTGGTTCTTTTAAAATTTCTAATTGGAAAAGGCTTTTCGAGACCCGAAAACTACAAAAATCACTTCACAAATAAATTCAGTGGTGTACTGTTCTCATTACATTTTCAAAACGGTATATTGGGTAGCACATGAAAAATCGGGTATAAAGGAATTGAAAATTTTAGTCCTCTAATCAAGTCGCGAGTGGATCAAATATAAATAGGAAATTGTTTTTAATAAATTGAGAAAATTAAGAAAATTTTTGAGTTTAATTCATTTTCTTGGGTGGGTTATACTTTTAGCTACTTTTTGCAATCCTTATGCACAATAACTAATATTAGGTATATATTTTTTTATTTCAGACTAGATTGGAAGTGTGGAGTGGTTTTCCTATTCTTGTACTTAATTTTCCTAGTTTTCGCCTGTTTGTTGGAATTGAACGTATTCTTCGACGTAAATCTTCCAACGTGTGCACATTGATTATTATTTTATTTTTTGTACACATTTATATAATTTAATCTTTTAGTGTTTATTTAAGACTGTAAATATTTATTGTTATATAATATTACGAAATATTGTTTAAAGAAACTGCCATACATTTGATGAAACCAATAATAAAAATAACAGTTTAATGTGTAGCTTTTTTACTGGAAATGCTGTGGACTATGTGAAGATAGTTTCATTCAAGTTTTCCGGAAAAATAGTGTCACATAAGAAATGCACAAACAACGGATTTATTTAATACACTAAACACAGCATAGTTTGTTGTCGTTATCTTAATTAAATACCTAGTTTTGTTAAAAGATGATATTCTATTTATAGCAGGTTTATTAAAAAATGAAAAAGTAAATTGATTATTAAATTGATTTAATGGCTTGTCTGTCAATGGTAATGTGGCATTTGTGTTTTCGGCCTGTGAATGCTGTGTGATGCTTTCTAACATAGGTTGTTCTTTCCTATCTAAATGTGGAGTTTGAATATTAGGTTCCTTATTAGGTGGTTTAACTTGAATGTCCGAAAGTATTTTAATTTTAGACTGTGGTAAAGATTCGCTATTTTTATCTGTTCCTGTTTTAACATTGTCATTAATAAAAAGATATTCGTCTAGATCACTGGGTTCGATTGGTTCTCGTACATTTACATCACCTGGATTGTTAAACATAGATAGTAAGTCATCTGCAATTTCGATTGGGTTCGCGTCTATACGTGATAAGAAATCAGCATTTGTGTTGTTTTTCCCTTTGCGATAAATTATGTTATAGTCATGTTCTTCTAATTTTAGTCTCCATCTTATTAATTTTGAATTTGGTTCTTTTAGATTGAATAACCACTGAAGAGGCTTGTGGTCGGTAATTATGTTAAACTTTTGTCCATAAATGTAAGGTCTAAATAATTTTGTGGCCCAAATGATTGCAAGGCATTCTTTCTCGATAGTTGAATAATTTATTTCTGTTTTGCTTAATGTTCGACTTATATACATGATTGGTTTGTCTTGTCCGATAGGACCTTGAGAAAGTACTGCTCCTAAGCCAAAATTTGAAGCGTCGCAAGTCACATTGAACGGTTTGTTAAAGTCTGGATAAATTAATATTGGGGGGTTACTAATAATTTTCTTAATAGTGTTAAAGGCATTAATGAATTCGGGTGTGTGTTCGATCTTTGAGTTCTTTTTTAAACATGAAGTTAAAGGTTTAGTAATAGCTGCATAATTCTTTATGAATCTCCTATAGTATCCTGACAATCCGATGAATGACTTAATCTGTTTAATAGTTGTAGGTAATTGAACTTTCTTAATTTTTTCCACTAATTTCGGGTTTGGCTTGATACCGTCGGTCGTTATAAGATGTCCTAAGTATTCAATTTCGCGTAAGCAGAATTCTGATTTCTCTAGCTGTATTTTAAAGTTATGTTGTCTAAGTCTGTCAAAAACTGTTTGTATGTTCTTTACATGTTCCTGAAAACTATTTCCTAAAATAATTATGTCATCGAGGTAAACGAGACAAATTTTGTTAATTAATCCTTGTAATACGCTGTTCATTACCCTAGCGAAACAAGCAGGTGCGTTTCTAAGTCCGAATGGCATTCTTAGAAAGTGCCAATGTCCGCGTTCTGTTGAAAATGCTGTTTTTGCCCTATCTGCTGGTTCTATCTCGATCTGATGATAGCCGCTTTTCAAGTCTAATTTAGAAAAATAACTGGAATTGCCTAAAAGATCTAAAATGTTCGCAATATTTGGTATAGGGTATTTGTCCTCTATAGTTTTTTCGTTCAACTTCCTAAAGTCTACTACCATACGCCAGTTGACCTTTCCGTTCTTATCTGGTTTTTTGGGTACTAAAAATATTGGTGAATTATATGGGGATTCACTCTCCGTGATGATGTTCTGTCTTTTTAATTCTTCAACCTGTCTATCTATCTCGTTGCGTTGCACTTGTGGAAATCTATAAGGTTTTACGTAAACTGGAATTTCTGAATTTAAAGGTATTTTGTGCCTAACTGTATTGGTGAATGTTAATACGTCATTTTCTTTATAAAAGATATCCTTATATTCTTCACATAAGTTTCTAACTACTCCATTTTCGTTTTGTGGTAAATGAGATAAATCTAAAGGAAGTGTACTTGTCGCGTTTTTACATGGTTTAGCTGTAAACATACTACAAACGTCTAGTTCGCTTTGGTTTATATGTCGTGCTTTAATCTTTGTCTTTGTTGGGGTTTTTGTTTTTGATATGCCAAAAATTGGAACTTCGCAGTGATAATTATCTGCGGTTGTTAATGTTTCTGGGATTATTACGCCATTTACTTCTTGTTGAGGTACTAATATCGGTCCTTTTCTTATTGGTACTGAAAATTTCTTTTTCTCTAATTTTGTTGCAATTTGAGTGTCATAACGCGTTAAAGGATGAATAACATTATTTAATACTATTGACCCTATCTCGTAGTCTATTTTCGCATTCATAATTTCCAAATTATCTGATCCTAAAAGGATATCAAAGTCCTTATGAAATTGAACTAAGAAAAATTTTAAATTTTGCTCTTCCTGGAATAGATCTACGTTAAGACATTCGTTATGTGTTGTTTCCGTCATTATAGTTCTAAGTAAAAAGTATTCTTTATAAATATAGTCCTGAAAATAATTATAAGCTACCTTAGGATTAATTAGTGAATTTGTAGCGCCAGTGTCTACAAGAATTTTTAAATGAGTGTTTTCTCCTATCTGTAACATTATGCATGGTAACGTGCTAAAACTATTGAAATTTGTTAAAAAGCTATTATTTAATTGTTGTCCGAGGCAGGTGGTTGAAAATTTACGACATCTACATGATCTTGGTTTAATTGTTCATTATTACAACCTACTGAATTAATTTCTTCCGTATTATTACAATTATAGTAGTCCTCTGGGAAATATTCGGGGTTGGTTTCCTCGCAATAATTCTGATTTTCATAGTAATTTTCGTCCTCACAATAATTTTGATTTTCGTAATCTACTGGTTCAACTTCCGTGCAATTTATGCGCGGTTGACGCCAATTTTTAAAAGCTGTACGTTGAAATGTGCTTGATCTTAAACTATTATCTGGTGGTAAATTTTGGGTGTTTCTTGTAATTGGAGTATTGTTTACTCTATTCGTGTTTTGATTTAATTGTCTAAAACTATTCTGATTTTGAGATGTACTTCTTGGTGTGTAATTATTTTGTGTGTTTGGGTTATAGTTTCTTTGTTGGAATGATTGCATTCTTGGTTGATTTGTGAAATTATTTCGCGATGTATTTTGTGCTACATTCCCACGATTTACAAATGAATTATTTTGGGAAGTTCGGGTGAAGTTTTGGTTTTGGAATTGGTTGTTAATCGGTTGGTTAATGTGAACCTTTGGGGAAATATTAGTCTTTTGCTTTTCGGGAGGATGTTTTGTGATGAAATTTAGAACTGTATTAGTTGCCGCTGAAAGCGTTGCGTGTTCCCTAACGTCCATTATAGTTTGTAACATTGCTGGGCTGTTATTATATAACACCTCTAAAGCTGTTTGTTCATTGATTTCCTTATGAATTTGTTTTTGTTCTCGAGTTAAAGCTGAATCTGACTGTGTTTTAATGTCTAATCTTGTCTGTACTGACCTAATTCTTTCTATGAATTCTACCAAATTTTCATCTTGTTTAATTTTTAGCATTTTAAATTGATGTGATAAGATCTTACGATCAGTAAAATCGCCAAATTTATGTCTAAGAGCTTCCTTGAGTAATATCCAAGTGTTAATATCTGGTCTACAAGTTACAAAATCGCTAGCTTCTCCTGTTAATTTGTTACAAATCAAACAATATACATACTCGTTTAGTGTTACATCTGCAGTATTACCATATTTTTGGTAAAAGCTATCTACCCTAAGAATGAAAGTCTCTAAATTACTACTCTTTCCCTCAAATTTAGGTAAAATCTCACCATAATTTCTAGCTGCACTAATTAATGACTCTGTATTTTGGTTCGGCATAATTGTTTCGTTTGTGTTAAATACGTCGCTTATTCTAATTGAGTTAATAGACTGATTTAAATCCTCTAAATCTAAGATTTCTACAGACATGTAAAATTGCTAAATCTAACTTATATTAATTACGTTGGTTTCTTCTTAATATTTCGATGCACTTTACACTTTTTGAAAGATAAACAAAATTGATCACTTACTTTGAAGTTGCGTTGTTTGCAGGGGGTTGAGGTAGTTACTTCTCAGAGCTGCGATGAGTTGGAAGACTTCCTGCGGTTCCTGATCCCTTTTGGTGTGTTTTGCAGGGGGTTGAGGTGGTTGCTTCTCAGAGCTTCTATGAGTTGGAAGACCTCCTTCGGTTCCTGGTCCCTTTGTGTGTTTTTGCAGGGGGTTGAGGTGGTTGCTTCTCAGAGCCTCGATGGGTTGGAAGACCTCCTTCGGTTCCTGGTCCCTTTGATTTTGGTCGGTCGGAAGACCCTTGTTGGTTCGTTGATCTTCTCGTTTTTCGGGGTGCTAGTGATTTTGGGATTTCTTCCACGCGCACACGAACGCAAATGCAACACCGAAAAAGTCTTTGAAAATCCACAAGACTGCGCCAGTTAATGTTTTCTGCCGCCGAATTTACTTTTTAAAAACGCTTTTTATTTTTAAGATTGAAATTCGACTGGCTAAGAAAAACATGAGCTGCTGCCCCGTTGAAAGAAAACAATAATACACTATGTGCGTTAATTATAATTCAATCAAGATGTTAACAGGTTAACAGTGGAACAACAACTGATTTTAATTAATCACAATTATTAACATTACATTTCTTATTCAATATCTTAGTAAGCTAATTAATATCAGAACAATGCAATTCCCTGAAGAGATTACCATTCTTACATGCGTTGCATGCTGACGTTGCGTCTTATAATTGTTATAAAGTATTGTAGATATCATAACTCGGCATGACCATAAATGTAACAGCGAGAAGTCATCCGAAGGCAAGAGGTTGTGCCCCTTTTTGTAGATATTTCTATTTAGGTACCTAGATTTAAGTTCCGTATGATTCGAAGAGTGTGATTTGACACCCCGACACGACAACCTCGAATTCTCTGTAGTCCAGTATAGTTTTCGTTAATAAAGTAATTATTTGTTAAGTTCACTCTGCCGACTTTTATTTCCGACAATCATCAACGCAAAAACAATCTGGTTCCGAATTTTTATAACAGAAGCTTACAGGAACTTGACAAAATCTTATTTCTCATCTATCTGAAAATCAGTATATCGAAACAATAAAACAAATCGTAAAAATTTATTACTTTTATCTGTTCGCTGAACTTGATCGTTTTCAAAACACAATTTAAATAGAACTGCTCGTTGAAACTTTGCATATTGGGCAGCTACCAGAGTCAGCTTTCAGCGATCCACTTTGGCATTGTGAATCGTTTATGTTTACCAGATATTAGCGACAATGTGCCGCGGTATAGTCGACAAAATATTGTTAATAAATTATAATATTGTCCCTGTGTAAATAACTTTATTACCGTTTAAGGCCTAAATCTATTCTCTACTATTTTGTATAAAGATATTTTCAAAATTTTATTCTCTTATTGACTTCCTACTTTAATCCAAAAGCGCCGGGGACTTCCAACTCCCCCTTAACAATCCTCTTAATGACTTCATTTCGAAAATACTATAAATAAAAGTTATAGCGTTTGCTTATTTTCTATAGTGTTTGTTCACTTTTGTATGTTTTAAGTTAAAATTGCAGTTTTGAAGCCAAAAAGAAGTCCTATTTGGAAATATTTTGTTAATATTAACGATGCAAGCGCCAAATGTAAACTCTATAACAAAATATTTGCCAAAACGTCGTATATCCACTGCATTAAACAGTCACCTAAAATCATTACACTTCTGCTTCCGCATCCGTTTGTAGTTCCGTTTCCACAAAAATTTGCTAGTTACTTCTACTTCCGCTTGTGGTAAAGGTCTAGAAGATGGCCCTCACCCCGAAGGGGGTGGGGGTGGGTGGGATCGAAAGAGGAGGTCTCCCCCACCACTGTACAATAAAAAGTTCGTGGCGGTCTCACCCCCATAAAAAGTTATGGGGGTTGAAAGTTGATTATTGTGACATACACTATAATTCAAATAAAATACAATAAAATAATTATTTTCAAGCGGGTGGAGGTGG